GCCTCCGGCGAGCTCGCTCCCGCGCCCCACCCGGCGTCGTCGTCGCCGCCGCCGCCGCCGTCGCCGTCGTCGCCCCCGCCCCACCCCTCGGCGGGCGGGTCCTCGCGATCGCGCGCCATCGAATGGATCTGGGCACCGTTTTCGCGCGGTTTTCTCTCTGATGAGGCGCATCAGCGCAGATCGCTCCGATACCTCGTCACTCTCGCGAGCGCGCGGACTCTGCACCTCGGACACGCAGAGCGCGACGACGCGCGAGAGAGGACGGGACGGGACGGGAACGAACGCGGTGCTGGACGTGAGCGAGAGCGAACGCGCGCGCGCTCTCGCGCCCGACCGCGGCCGCGCGCCCCGGGCGGCGACCCCGTGACGACGCATCGCCCGAGATCGATCGATCGACATGCGGCGAGACGACCGCGGGCGCGGTGGCGGCGGCGGCCGCGGCGGCTTCGGCCGCGGCGGCGGCAGAGACGGCGGCGGCCGCGGACGAGCCGGCCGCGGCGGCGACTTCTTCCCCAGACGCGACAAGGTGCGCGCCTCGCGCATCGAGCGCGCGATCGATCCGTCCCGACGCGCGCCCTAGGTTTTTCCTCCACCCCGCGCGCTCGCCTCGCCTCGCCGCCGACGCCCCTCCTCGCCCCTCCCCGCTTCCTCGCGGACGACAGTTCCAAGGCCGCACGCAAGCGACCGCGACGAAACTCTCCGTCCCGAAGCCGGTGAACTTGCCGTCGATGAAGAAAGAGCACGCGGGGAACGACCCGAACGCGCAGCTCGTGCCCGCGACGCACCATCCCGGGGGGTGGAGCAAAGACGACCATCCCGGGGGAGGAGCAGTTCTCGATCGGGACGCCGCCGCGGGCGCCGGCGGCGACGGCGGCGGCGGCAGCGCGCTCGTGGACTCCAGCGCGTCCTGGGCGTCGCCGCTCGCGCATCGCGCGGCGGCGTCGGGGGACGGCGCGCACGGCGGCCGACCGGGCGGGGAGGTCACGACCGCGCTCGCGGGGGGCGGCGACGGCGACGCGCGGACGCGGCTCGATCAGCATCTGAGTCATCTGCCGCGGCGCCTGAACCAGAACGAGTATCCCACGCTCAGCGCGGACGGCGGCGGCGGCGGCGGCGGTAATCATGGTAATCATCATCATCATCATCATCAGTATCGTCATCATCATCACGACGACCAGCCCGACGTCGTGCCGCAGCATAACCGGTGGGACGACGACGAGCGCAGAGGCGCGAGGGCGCCGATCGAACGCGAAGACGCGCGGCGGCGGTTTTTTCAACCGGGCCCGGGCCCGGGCCCGGGCGACCGCGACGCTCGAATGGACGCGCACGACGACGACGACGACGACGATCGCCGCGGTGGTCGCTTCCTCCGCGACGACCCGCTGAACTTCCCGCCGCCGCGCCGCGCGTACGACGACGACGCCGGCGACGGCGCGCCGCCGCCGCGCGAGCGATTCGAGCGTCGATTCGACGATAATCGCGACGAGCGCGACGGGCGAGGGCCGCCGCCGCCGACGCCGCCGCCGGGGAACGGATCCTATACCGCCGCTCGCGATCGCCGCGACGAACGCGACGGGTGGGGCCGGGAACGTCCGCGCGATTACCGCGATGAGCGCGACCGCGGAGGGTACCGTCGCGACGGGCGCGGCGACGACGACGGCGACGACGGCGACGACCGAGGCTACCGCGGCGGCCGCGACGACCGACGACGCGACTACGACGACGATCGTCGCGATCGGTACGGACCCCCTCCGCGAAGCGGCGACCGCGACCGCGGGGGGTACTACCGCGACGACCGCGGGAGGGATCGAGGACCGGACGAATACCGCGGCGGCGGCGGGGGACGCGGCGGGGACGATTTCCGACGCGACGACTATCGACGCGGCGGGGACGATTTCAGACGCGACGACGGGTATGGAGGCGACCGGTACGGCGACCGCGACCGCGACCGCGACCGCGGCTCGCCGCCGCCGCGTCGGTATCGCGACGAACGTGACGCGTACCCGAGAAGGGACGAACGACGCGACGCTGCGTACTCGTACGATCGACGCGACGACGACCGCGGCGGAGGCCGCGGGCGCGGGCGCGGCGGGGACTTCTTCGATTCGCATTCGCATTCGCATTCGCGCGACTACTCTGACGGTCGCGACGACCGCGACCGCGACCGCGCGCAGCAGCGCGACCGACGCGGACACGGCGGCGGGGCTGGTTTCGGACGGAACGATCGCGGCGACCGCGGGTTCGACGATCGCGATCGCGGGCCGCCGCCGCGGGGGCACCGGGGCTTCGACGACGAGTTTTACGGGCGGGGTCGCGGCGGCGGCGGCGGCGGCGGCGACCGGTTCGATTTCCCGCGCGCCGCCGCGAAGCCCCCCGCGGGGCCGCCTCCCGCGCCGCCGCCTCCCGGCCCGGAGAAGGACGAAGCCAGGGACGAGTTCCAAGCCGAGCTCCTGCGCGTCCTCGCGGAGCAAGAAGCGGAGCGCGAGGAACGGAAGCGGCTGGAGAGGGAGGCAGGCGCCGCGAAGGGCGCCGGCGGCGACGACGCCGAAAAGGGCGGCGTCGGATCCCCGCCCCGCGGCGTGAAGCTCGGTCGAGGCCTCGGGAAGCCCAGCTCGACGTGGCCGAAGAACGCCCCCCCGAACGCTGCTAACGCCACCGCCAACGCCGCGGCGGACGACGACGGCGGCGAGAGCGACGAGAGCGACGACGACGGCGGCGCGGACGGCGGGGGCGGCGGCGGCCCCGGGGCGATCGGCTCCGGCGCCCCGCGCGAGCGAAAGAAACGCGGCGGCCGCCGCGTGCGCGAGGCTGAAGAACGCCGCGCCGCGAAGGAGCGAGAGGCTGCCGCGAACGGCGTCGCGCCGCCGCCGCCGGCTCGGAGCCCGTGGGAAGCGAGCGGCGTCGACGTCCACGCGCCGATTCCGTCGTACGGAGGCCAGTCGCGGGGCGCGCCGTCGTCGTCTCATGCTCAAAACGTGGCGCAAGAGGCGGAATCCCGGTGGGGCGCCGGCGCCCTCGGCGGCGTCGCGTGGCAAGGCCCGATCGCGGAGATGCAAAGAAGCGCGAGCGTGGATAACCTCGGACGCGTCGCGCCGGGGCAGTCGGCGCACTCGAGCCCGAGCCGACCGGGACCGGGAAGGATGGCGCCCGGGCGCGGCGGCGACGGGGACTCCTCCGTCGTCGGCGCGTTACCGAGCGACCTCACGTCGGACGGGATCGCGGGGAACGGACCCGCGAGGGTCGGCACGCCGCCGCCGCCGCACCCCGCGAGCGGCGCGAGCGGCGGCGTCGGGGCGTACGGGATGCCGCCGCCGAACCCGAACCCGCCGCCGCCGCCGTACGGCGCGGGGGGCGGCGGGTTCGGAGGAGGGTTCCCCGGTCGAGGCCAGGGCCCCGGCCTCTTCGGCGCCCCCGGCGGCGGGCCCGGGCCTGGGCCACCGCAGATGCGTCCCGGCGCGAGCCAGTACGCCGCCGCCCCCGGCCCCGGCCCCGGGTTCGGCGGCGGCCCGCTCAACCTCGGCTACGGCGGCGGGATGTGGTCCACGGGGGACGGCGCCGTCGGACCCGGGCCGCCGGGGGGCGTCGTCGGCGGGGACGTCGCCGCGGACGTCGCCGCCGCCGCCGCCGCCGCCGCAGGCGCCGCCGCGGCGGCGGCGATGCAACGCCTCGACGTCGGCGACGCGTACTTGGCGAGTAACCCCTACGCAGCGCGCGTTACGTCGAGGGCGTATCCCGCGTACGGCGGACCGGGGGCGAACCCGTACGCCGCGCCGTCGACAGCGGCGCCGTCGCCGCCGCGCCCGCCGCCGGGCTCGCCGCCGGGGCCGGGGGCGCCGGGAAGAGCCGCGAACGTCCCGCGGCAACCCGGCGGGTCCGGGTCCCCGGGGAGAGCGAGTGCCGCGGGAGAGGCCGCGGCCGCGGCCGCGCTGGGAGGCCACCTGGGATTCATATCCGACCGCGACGGCGGTGGCGGGAACTGAACCCGTCGCGACGATCGATCGACGAGCGGACGACGACGGCGAGACCGCGAACCATCCGCGTCGTCACCTCCGCGTCCCGAAAGGCTCCGCGAATATTCGCGCCATCGGGACGCGAACGACAGACGCGCGCGCGTCGTGCGTCGTCCGTTAGTTACGTCGAAACGCGAGGCGAGATGCGCGAGACGATGACGCGTACGGAAGTACAACCTCCGTACGACGGATCGTGAACGAGAATGGAAAACGAAAGACGAAAACCAAAAGGATCGGGCCTGGGCCACCGCAGATGCGTCCCGGCGCGAGCCAGTACGCCGCCGCCCCCGGCCCCGGCCCCGGGTTCGGCGGCGGCCCGCTCAACCTCGGCTACAGCGGCGGGATGTGGTCCACGGGGGACGGCGCCGTCGGACCCGGGCCGCCGGGGGGCGTCGTCGGCGGGGACGTCGCCGCGGACGTCGCCGCCGCCGCCGCCGCCGCCGCAGGCGCCGCCGCGGCGGCGGCGATGCAACGCCTCGACGTCGGCGACGCGTACTTGGCGAGTAACCCCTACGCAGCGCGCGTTACGTCGAGGGCGTATCCCGCGTACGGCGGACCGGGGGCGAACCCGTACGCCGCGCCGTCGACAGCGGCGCCGTCGCCGCCGCGCCCGCCGCCGGGCTCGCCGCCGGGGCCGGGGGCGCCGGGAAGAGCCGCGAACGTCCCGCGGCAACCCGGCGGGTCCGGGTCCCCGGGGAGAGCGAGTGCCGCGGGAGAGGCCGCGGCCGCGGCCGCGCTGGGAGGCCACCTGGGATTCATATCCGACCGCGACGGCGGCGGCGGGAACTGAACCCGTCGCGACGATCGATCGACGAGCGGACGACGACGGCGAGACCGCGAACCATCCGCGTCGTCACCTCCGCGTCCCGAAAGGCTCCGCGAATATTCGCGCCATCGGGACGCGAACGACAGACGCGCGCGCGTCGTGCGTCGTCCGTTAGTTACGTCGAAACGCGAGGCGAGATGCGCGAGACGATGACGCGTACGGAAGTACAACCTCCGTACGACGGATCGTGAACGAGAATGGAAAACGAAAGACGAAAACCAAAAGGATCGGATCGACTGACGCGAGACGAGACGAGAGCCCGCGGCAACCGAGGCGCACGGCGCCGTTGCCGGCTCTCCGTCTACCACCCGAATCATCCGCCGTCCACTACGATACGGCAGCAGAAGCGACGACCGCTAGACTGCCTCACGTCGCGAGTCCGCGAACACGCGAACGCGACCGACGAGATTTTATTCTATTTATTTCACTTCACGATCGAATCACTTGAGCGCGCTCCTCTTCCTCTTCTTCCTCCGCCACTTTCTCCGTAACTCCCCATCTCCCAGCGCGGCGTTCCTATTAGTAACGCCTCCATTCGCGCCTCCATTCGAGTTCCCCACGTCGCTCTCACCCCCCATCGCCTTCGCCTTCACCCACGGCCCCCCCTCGTATCCCCACGACTCGTCCACCATCCCGAGCGCGTTTACCTCCTCCGCGACGAGCTCTCCGTACGGCCCTCGATACGTCCACGGCGTCCACGGCTCGTACGACCCGCCGATCTATATCTGGGCCAGATCCCGTATCTGCGCCCACTGCTTCTCCGCGGCGTGCGCGACCCGCAGTTCCCACAGGCGGTCGCCCTTCGGCAGCGACGGCGGCGGCGCGCGCGTGTCGCAAAACGGCGAGCACCGCGGCACCGCCTGGAGCTTCGCGTAGAGCATCAGAGGAAACGGCGGGAGCCCCGGGAGGGGAGGTAACGGCGCGGGCGGGAGGTTCGGCGTCGGCGGCGGCGGCGGGAGGACGTTCGAGTGCCACACGCCTCGCGGGTCGATCAAGAACCCCTTGCGCGGCGACGACGTCCGCGCGCGGCGGCGGCGGCGGCGGCGGCGGAAGCCGGTCGTTCGAGGACGGCGGAGGAGGGCTCGGCGCTCTCGGCGGCGGCGGTGGCGGCGGCGGCGGCGGCGGCGGCGGCGATTCCGGTCGCGGCGGAGGGCTAGGTCCCCCCGGCGGCGGCGGCAGCGGCGGCGGCGACGGCGGCGCCGACGGCGGCCACACCAGCTCCACCTCCGGCGCCGCGGGCGGCGTCGGCGGGACCGCGACGACGCCCTCTCCCGGCGGCGGCGGCGGCGGCTCGCCGACGTCGTCTCCGCCCCCCCCCAGGTTCCCCTCCTTCTGCGCCTCGCACACCCCGTCGTCGCTGAAATCTCCGCAGCAGTCCCCGAGCGCGACGCAGTCGCCGTCGCAGCAGCACGACGCGCGGCACAGCCCGCACGCGCCCGCGCACGTCTCGCCGCCCGCTCCCGCTTCTTCCCCGCCCGCGCCGAACGCCGGGTCGACGGCCGCGTCGAGCCGTCGACGCTCGTAGTCCTTCCTCCGCCGCGGCCGCGACAGCGGCGGCGTGCGACTCGACGCCGCTCGCGCGCGCGCGACGACCTCGCCTCGAGGAGGCGGCGTCCGCTCGGTTTCCCCGCTCTCTTTTCCTCCCCGCTCTGAGTCTCTCCTCCGCGCGCGCGCGTCTCCCGCGGCGCGCGTCCCCCCCCGCGGCGTCGCGACGCTCGCGACCGCGAGCGAGATCGCGAGCAGCGCGCCGGCGAGGTGCCACAGCCGCCGCGACCGCGGCCGCGCGCGTCGCATCCCCGCCGCCGGCGCGCGCGCGCGCGTCGCGCTCTGTCGGGTCGCGCGCCGTCCCCGCGCCGAGAGGCCACCGCTTTGCCTCCGCCGCGCGACGCCTTTGCCCGCCTCGGGATCGAAATTTCCGAACGTCGCGCCGCGTACTACGCGTTTCCGTACTCTCGCAGACTGCGCGCCGTACGCGACACTTGGAGTCCAGTCACGCGAGATCTTATTCGTAGTCTGACTTTGCCCTATTTGATTGGCAGATAAGATCAGGGTTCGCAGACCGTCGAAGAGGGACTCCGAGCGGAGGGCTTTTCCGCTCCGTTGTGAACTCGCCGAACCAAAAGCGCGCGTCAGGGTTGGAAAGCGACGAGCGCGCGGCATAGCACACGCGCGCGGGGCACACGCGTCGCGGTCGTTCCTTGAGACGCGTCACACACGCGCCCGCGGAACGTACCTACGTCGTGAGCGGTGCGTCACGTCGTCCACGCTCGCGCGTTTCCGGCGTCGCGCGCATCGAATTTTAATCCGGCTATTTTTCTCGGGCGGGCGGGTAATCTCCGCTGTCGTGCGGGGATTGCGTTTTCTTTCCTCCTCGGGGGGGCGCGCGGGAGAGACACGCGACGCGATACCGACTCGTTCGCGCCTCACCCGCGCTCGGCGTGATCCCCGAGAGATCGCGCCGCCGCGAACGCGCGCCCCGAGGCGCGCGTGGGGTCCACGCGGGCAGATAAAATCGCCCTGAATTATTCAGATTCGATCGACGCCTCGCGAGCGCCGCGCGGGGGGCGTCCCCGCCGCGCGCGCGGCCCGATCGCCGTCCACGATCACGCCCGCGATTCCGCCGATTCTGACATCCCCTCCCCTCCCTCCGCGCCTCGACCCACGCCGCAGTCGTCGTTCACGCGGTCGTCCACGCGAACGAACACCCCGTCGCGGGAGGAGGAAAGAAAGGAGAACCTCGCCGGAGAAGGAGGAATTGAAAGAATGCAAAACCCGACCAACAACGGCGGGAACGGCGGCGGCGGGAACGGCAACGGCCAACCGCAGATGATGTACCAGCAGTCTCCGTACGGCATGTCCGGGAACGGCCAGCCCGGCGGGATGCCGCACATGGACCCGACGCAGCAGGCGCAGTTCCAGCAGCACGCCATGCGCGCGCAGTTGCAGCATCAACAGTTGGCGGCGTACCAGATGCAGACGCATCACGTCGCGCAACAACATCAGCTGCAACTGCGGACGTTTTGGCAAGGGCAGATGCGGGAGATCGAGACGGGGAGCGACTTCAAGAATCATCAGCTTCCGCTCGCGCGGATTAAGAAGATCATGAAGAGCGATGAGGACGTTAGGATGATCTCGTCGGAGGCGCCCGTGCTGTTCGCCAAGGCGTGCGAGATGTTCATCCTCGAGCTCACGCTGCGGTCGTGGATCCACAGCGAGGAGAACAAACGGCGGACGTTGCAGAGGAACGACATCGCGGCGGCGATCACGAAGACGGATATTTTCGATTTCCTCGTGGACATCGTGCCGCGTGATGATTTCAAGGAGGAGGGGATGAACGTTCAGAGGGCGCAAGGCGGCGCGGGCGTCGGCGAGGGCGGCGGCGGGATCGCGTCCGTGCCGTATAACCCCGGGATGTATTACATGCAGCCTCCGCCGGGGGGGATGCCGCCCGGGGCGCAGTGGCCGGGCGGGATGGGGGGCGATCCGAACCAGTGGAAGCCGACGCAATGAGTGGACGGACGGACGACGACGCGATGAGACGTGATGATTCATAATTCGACTCCACAAAAATTTCCTCTTTCGCGCGGGCGAGACGAAATCATCGACGTCGACGACGAAAGCAAAGCGCGACGACCGACGCCCGGGGCGGGGGCGATCGGTTGGTGGTTCAACACACGGCGTAGAAAACTCTTAGAACAAAGCGTTGAAACATACTACTACGACTACAGTCACGACGCGCGCGCGCGACGACTCACGGCGCCTTCCTTGGCTCGACGAGCCACCCGGAATCTTTTTCGTCGTCGTCGCCGCCGTCGTCGTCGCCGTCGCCGTCGCCTTCTTCTTCCAACAACGCCGCGACGTCCACGCCGGACCCTCCGTCCTCGTCCTCGTCCTCGTCGTCCTCGTCCTCGTCGCTGCCGCCGTCAACGAGCATGTCCCGCAGGTACGCCTCGAGGTCCTCCGCGACTTCCTCGCCGATCTTCGCCGCCTCCTCCGCGTCTTCGCCCGCCGCCGCCGGCAGCGCGCCGTCGCCGGCGCCGCCGCCGCCGTCGCCGCCGGCGTCGTCGTCGTCGTCGTCGCCGTACGCGGCCGCCATCTCCGCCGCGAGCGCCGCCGCCGCGGCCGCGGGGCCGTCCGCGTCGCCGCCACCCTCTCCTCCTCCTCCTTCTCCTCCTCCATCGCCAGCCCTCGGTCCCGCCGCCGCCGCCGCCGCCGCGGCTTCGCGTCTGAACCTCTCGCGCGCCTCGCGCGCCTCCGCGATCCTCGCGTCGTGCGCCCTCTCCGCGTCCGCGAGCTTGTTCGCGCACAGCGCGAAGTACGCGCGCCAGTAATTCGCGTCGCTCATCGCGTTGGTGGATATCAGGCGTCTTCGAACGTCGTTCGCCGCCGGGACGTCGCGCATGACCAACCGCGCGTGCGTCTCTCGGAACGCGGTGATCGTCCACCGTGGATCATCCGCGTCGTCCTCCTCCTCCTCCTCCTCCTCCTCCTCCTCCTCCAGCGGGAACGACGCGAACGTCTCCGGCGTGAGCGCGCCCACGAACGTCATGAACTCGGGCGTGACGCCGTACGCGCTCGGGTCGACGTTCGCGCTCAGCGCGCGCCCGCTCCCGAGCGCGGCGAGCGCGGCGTCCGCGCGGAGGTGACCCTCCGCGGCCTCGGCGGTGGCGACGGTGTTGGCGCGGATCTCGTCGAAGACGGACTTCACCGTCGACGCGAAGTCGCCGCGGGAGAGCGCGTCCGCCTGCGCGGACGCGGCGGCTGCCGCGTCGGACGCGACCGCGGACGCGCGCTTCCACAGCGCGTCGAGGTCGAGGTCGAGGTCCATCCCGCGCGCTCGACGCGCGCGGCGCGGAGTGGACGGCGGGCGAGTCCCGTGGGAAATGGTGTTTTCGTAGCGTTCCGAGGTACGACTTGGAAAAGTAGTTTTCGTCGTAGTACGTGTACGAAAAAGCGGTTCGAATCAGACTGGTGTTCGTACGCGTCCAATCAAAGAAAAACGCGAGCCACTCACCGCTATCTCGAGTGCCCTCATCAACGGACGGCAGGATAAAGAAAGGAGCTCTCTCGCCACCTCGATCTTCGGGGCGTCCGTCGCGTGAGGCACTCTACACGCGCGCAGACACACGCGGGGTCGTTCGCGCGGTTTCGTAAACGACGAGAGCCATGGCTGCCATCATCAACGCCACCAGGTGCGCGGCGCGTCCGAGGGCGAGAGGCGGCGGACGCGCGATCTTTTTCGCTCGCGTCCGCTCCAGTTGGCGCCTCCTCGCGCGCGCTCGCACGTGGTGGCCGTCGATCGAACCCGCGGCGCGGCGCCCCGCGTCGCGCGCGTCCCCGGGCGACGCCGCTCGCGCGTCTCGATCACGACGCGACGCGACGCGACGCGACGCGACGCGCGCGCGTCGCCGCGCCGCGCGCGCCGCGCGCGTCGTCGCGCGTCGCGGCGGCGGAGGATAGATCTTCGTTCCTGTCTCCTTCGACCGCCTTCGGCGTCGCTTCGCGCCTCGCCGCGATCGCGCCCGCGGGCGTCGACGACTCACGATCCCTTCCCTCCCCCCCCCGCCGCCGCTCTCTCGTTATTCGTTAATAACAGGGCGTACTCCACCCTCGCGGCGCCGCGCGCGTCGACCGCGCCCGCGAAGCGCGCGCGCGCGTGCGCGGCGCGCGTCGCGAAGAAGACGCGCGGGTCCGTCGCGACGCGATCCGCGTCCCAGGACGAAGCCGCAGTCTCCCCGAACGCGTCCGTGTCGCTCTCGTGCAGCATCGACGACCCGTCCTCGTGCTCGCTCGCGGACCTCGAGATGCTCTACATCGACGCGCTGTGGAACTTTTACAACGGCGGCAGCTTCACGCTCTCGGACGAGCAGTACGACCGACTCCGCGAGGAGCTCAACTGGCAAGGGTCCGGATTCCCGACGCTGCGAAGGTACGAAGTTCAGTTCGTCGAGGCGTCGATCGCGTACGCGCGCGGCGAGCCCGTCGTCACGGACGAGGAGTACGAAGACTTGAAGAGGAAGGTCAAGGCTGAGGGCAAGCGCGACGACGTCACCGCGCTGCTTCTCTACACGAAGGGCCAGGAGCTCCTCGACCCGGCGCAATTTTTACGCCTCAAGGATGAGATGGCGAAGCTCGACGTCGACGTCGGTCTCCGCGGCGCGACGTGCACGATGTCTAAGACGTCGGACAAGCTCACGAGCGACAGCAGCGCGGTCACGAAGATGTACCTCGCCATCGGCGCGGTGCCGACGGTCTTGGGTTTGACGCCGTACGTCTTGGGGTCGATCTTCGGGTTTGATATTCCGTTCACGGCGGGCGTCGGCTTTGGCCTAACCGTCGGCGCGTTGCTCACGGCGTCCATCGTCAACTACACCGGGTTACAGAACGCGGAGATCGTGAAGGGCGAGTGCCCGTGCTGCGAGAACGAGATCAAGCAGTTCTTCGGCGGCGAGTCCCCGGAGAACAGCGTGGATTACAAGTGCGGCGTGTGCGGGACGACGTCGAAGCTCAACAGGACGACGATGAAGATCGACCAGGCGGGCGGCATCAAGGCGGCGTGAACCACCGAACGAGAAGACGACCAGGGGCTCGTAGGGTTTGTTGGGTGTATTAGGAATGTGGTTTTTTTGACGATGTCGTGGATTGATCGCGCGGCGCGGCGTGATCGCGGGCGGTGGTGTTGGGATGGATGGAGGATCGCGCGGCGGCGTCGAATCGAATCGCGGGCCCGGGAGAGGGGGCCGCGACTCGACGTCGACGACGACGACGCGACGCGATTTTTCGGATGGATAAATAACCAAAGTTGAATTGACGCGCGGCGGCGACGACGCGCGACGAGGAGGACGGCGAGCGAGGTCTCCACTCGATAGAGTAGAGAGAGATTCCGCGGACGGTACCGTAGTGATAGCGCGAGCGAGCGAGCGAGCGAGTTTAAAATGAAGCGAGCGCACTACAGGACTACGGATCGTGCGACCGCGACGTCGGAGAGAGCGACGGCCGGCTTCGTATGCGAAACGCCGGCGTGCTCCTCGCGGCGAATTCGAACCCTCCTCCGTTCGCGTTCGACGTCGACCCCCCCGCGCTCCCCGGCGGCCACCGTCGTTCGCTCACCGGCGTCGGGAAGCTCTCGTCGTCGTCGTCGTCTTCCTCGCCGGATCGCGTCGTCGTGCTTCCCTCCCGCCGCGACCGCGACCGCGACGCCGTCGCGGCGCGGCGCTTTCGGCGCGCGTCGTCGGCTTCGCACTGCTCCCGCATCGCCGCCGCCTGCGCCGCGTGCGCCTCCAGCGCGTCGTGCAACTCCCTCGCGCGCACCGGCAGCGACTTGAGCGGGTTCTCTCTCGAGCGCGGACTGCGCGACCCGGGGGTGACTTCCGTGATGGAGCGCAAGAAGGCGATGTCGAGCTTCGCGTCGTTCTTGACCCGATCCGCGTGCGCCTTTTCGCGTTGCAACTCCAGAGCCCACTGCTCTAAGAACGTGCCCGCGGCGAGAATCGCGCGCTCGCCCGCCTCGAACGCGACCCGCCAGTTGGCGCTCTCCGCTCCGCGCGTTCTCTCCTCGATTTCCAGCTCGAGCTCGTGGACGCGCTCGCGGAGGCGCTCGACTTCGTCCTGCGCTTCCCGTCGCTCGGCGGCTTCCACGTCGGCTTGTTTTTCCCACGCGTCCGCGCGCATCTCCGCCGTTCTCGCGTCCGATCGTAACGCCCGCTCAACCTGCGTTAAATCGTTATTCGCGCGTTCCACGCCGCTCGCCGCTTCCGCAGCCTCCGACGCCGCGGCGGCGAGGCCGTCGCACGTCTCCGCGAGGTGCTCCATGCGCGCGCGCTGCGAGCGGGTCACCTCGAGATGCCAAGCGCTGAGCGCCGACGCCAACGCGGTTCGGTCTCTCGCGCGGTGCAAACGCGGGTTCGACGCGCGCAACAGCGCGTCCGAGTACTCCGCGAGCGACTTGGTGCTCCGAGACGCGCGTCGCCACGCGTCGAATACCCTCGCGGCCGCGTTCGCGCTCCACGTGGCCGTGAACTGCGCGTGCCACGCGTCGCGCGTGTCCTTGAGTATTCTGACGTTGCGCGCCCATCGCCGGAGCGCGCGTCGTCGTCGTAAACATCGCGTCACCGCGGCGACGGCGACGGCGAAGCGCCATTTCCTCATCACGACGACGCCCACCTTGTTTGTTTGCCTCTCGTACACGACGCGAAGGCGTCGCTGCGCGCGCGTGCGCCACATCCAAAGCGTCAGCGCCCACTGCGCCGCGCGTCGGCGGCGCGCGTACGCGAGCACGCGCGCCACCTTGGACGCGGCGACGCGCGAGCGCCACATCCGAAGCGCTTTCTTCCCCGCGTTGCGACTCGCCATGGCGTCCACGCTCTCCTTCTTCCTCTCCGCGTCCTCGAGCGCCGCGAGCGTTCGCCTGAGCGTCTCCGCTTCTTCGGTCGCGTCGGCGATTTTTCTCGCCGCCGCCGCCGCGGCCTTCGCCGCCGTCTCTCGCTCCGCCTCCAGCGTCCTCAGCCTCTCCGCCGCCTCCTTCTCTCTCGCCTCGGCCGCGTGCGCGTCCGCTCGCGCTCGCGCGACCGCGTGCGCGGCGCGCGCAGCTTCCTCCGCAGCCGCGGCGACGCCGTGGATCTTCGCCTTCTCCACGTCCCCCTCCGCCGCTTCGACGCGGCGACGAAGCTCCGCGTTGGCGGCGAGGAGCTCCGTCTCCCCGGCGGCGTGCGACTCCAGCGCCGTTCGAAGCGCGTCGACTTCCTGGGACAACATGTCGTACAGATCGCGAGGGGGGTACGGTCTAGCGCGTTGTCGCGTCGTCGTCGTGGCCTGGCGTTCCGGCTTCGCGGGCGAAGCATCTCCGCGCGACATCTCCGCTGACCGCCGCGCGCCCTCGAGCGAGTCCCACCCGCGGCCGTTCGAAGGGCTGACGTCCCGGCTGACGTCCCGGCTCCGCGGCGTCCGCGTTCGCCCTCTCCCCCTGCCCCTTTCCGCCGCGGCCATCGCGGCGTCGCCGACGCGTTTTTTTGCCGCCGCGGTCTCGCGCGCGGCCGCGGCGGCGGTCCCGGGGCCGTACCCCCACTTTACTCTCGCCGCCGTCGCCGTCGCCGTCGACGTCGCGGCCACGTGCCCGTCGTACCAGTGGTCGCCCCAGGCGTACCCCGCGCCTGGTACCCGCTCCCTGGACGTCGAGCGCGCGCGCGGCCGCGGCCGCGGGGGCGCGCGCTCTCGCGCTCGCCCCGTCGGCGACGGCGGCGCGGACGAATGCCGCCGCGCGGAGACGGTGGCCCCGTGCGAGAATCCTCTCCCGCGTCGAATCGCGTCGGCGTCGTCGTCGAGGCGTTCGTCAAACACGGCGTCGGAGTTTACCCACGCTTCCTCGACGTTGAAGGTTCCGTCGTCGTCGTCGTCGTCGTCGTCGTCGTCGTCGAGACGGAAATCTTCAACTTCTTCCCGCTCGTCGCGACGCTCGCGTCGGTGCGTCGGCGTGCGCGGTCGCTCCACGCGGCTCGTCTCCGCCGCCGGCGCCGCCGCCGGCGCGTCGCCTCTCAAAATCTCCCCGAAACGATACGAAGCCGCGGCTTCGTTGTCCATGATGTCCGTCAGCGCCGCCTCGCGGTCGCTCCTCACCTCCACCTCCCTCGCGGCGGCAGCCTCGAACCCCCACCGAAGCGCGGTCGCGAACGGGTCCGCGACGGACGCTTCACGACGGTCCTTCGTCCGTGCGTTGGCGTCGTCGAGATACGAAAGCAACGCCGCCGTGTCGGTCTGTTCCCTCGGGGTGGAGCTGAAAGGCGTCAGTTGGAGTTGATAGGCGTCGAGGGCGGGGATTGAAAGCGAGGGGTGGGCGGAGAGAGACGCCGGCAAAAGTCCTTAAGGATCGGCGTTCACCACGCCGACGCGGTCGTATGGGGACCAGTGTGAGATAAAACGCGCCTGTTCCCTCGCGAGCGCCGCCGCGTACGCCGCCTCCCACCGCGCTTCTTCGTTAACGCTGGTTCCCCGATCGTCGTTACTAGTACTAATTCTCTTCGCCTCGAGCGCGGTCGCGACGCGGAGCGACTTGGCGAGCGCGGCGACCTCGCTCGCGGTCATCGTTCGCTCGGGCTGGCACAGCTTCAAAAACGTTCGCGGATCCACCACGTCGGCGCCCGCGCGGTCGGCTCTCGACGGGAAACTTCTCGGATCGACCGGGCCGTTCGCGCTGAACACAACCTCTCGAAGCTCCTGATGCACGAGGCTCAACGCGTACGCGCGGCGCAGCTTCGCCGCGGTCACCGCGGCGGACATGAGCATCTCTAACGATCGAACGTCGCGTCGGACGCGTCCCGGCGCGGCGACGATTTCCTCTCGCGTCGTCGCCTTCCCGTCCAAGGATTTCAACCGCGGCATTCGCGCCAACACGTGCGCGCGATAGAACGGCAGCCGCGAGACCGGCGTGAGCTCGAGCGATAGCGCCTCGAGGTGCGGGCACCCGCGCGCGAGCGCGTCGAGCTGCGGGATGTCGTCGATCGGATTATCCCCCGCGCTGAGAAGCCGCAACTCTCGAAATTGCGCCAATCCCGCCAGAGACGCGATGCGATTGTGCGACGCGTACAGCCGCTGCGTCGGTCGGTACGCGGGCGGAACCGCGTCGATGATCGACAACCGCTTGTCCACGACGGATATGCGCGATTTCGTCGGATCGAACGCGCACGGCGCGTCGCGGAGGAGAGCGCTGAGCGACACCGGCTTGGCGAGATGTCGTCGGACGGCGTCCACGTGTTGGTGTCGATGAGTCGATGGTCGATCCCGATCGTCCCCGCCGCTCGAGCTCGACGACGGCTCGCCGGGGCCGCGCGGCGTCGGCATCGGCACGACGTGCCGCGCGGGCTCCATCTCGCGCGTGCGGAGGAGCGACACCGCGGTGGACGAGCGCTCGCGCGAGGACGAGTGGCTCCTGGGCGGCTTCCCCGATGATGGCTCTCTTTCGCCGTCGACTCGCTTCGACGAGTTCCACGCGCAGCATCTGGTGGACGAGGACGACGGCTCGCCGCCGCGCCCGCGCCCGCGCGCGCGCGCGTCGGCGTCGTCGCCATCGCCCCCGCCCCCGCCGTCGTCGTCGTCGTCGTCGCGCGCTGCCGAGGACGACGCGGAGACGTCCCCGCTCTCTCCGCGATCCCTTCCGCGCCCGCGCGCGGAGGGTCTCTCGGATTCGTCCTCCCACGTCACGCGACGCCGTCCGCGCGACGCGTCGTCGCCGCCGCCGCGGAGCCGCCGCCCCATGCCGCGCTCGTGCAGCTCCGCGTACGACCCCATGACGCTCACGTCGTAGAAATCCTCCGCCATCGCGCGACGGGAGCGAGCTAGCCTCCTCCCGCGGCGCGACGGGGTGTGGCGACGACGGGGAAACGAACAACGACGAGTCTCGAACGACTAGTTTTGCGCGTCAAGCTGAGACTGGAGTCTGGCGCGCGCGAGAACACTCCGAGCAAGTTCACCCACCCGCCGTTTTCAACTTTTGATCGCATCCTCTTTCAACTGACCGACACAGTTTTATTTGGCGTAGTGCCGATTCCCGCCAAGAACCTGGCGACGATCCTGCCGAACGCGCGGGGCACTCGCGCGGGCGCGAACCCGACTCGACGTCGCATGCTGCTGGGTCGTCGCGCGGAACGAGCGCTGCGTGGGTTCCTCAGCCAAGCCCGGGGCGCGATGGCGGCGTCCGTGTCCGCCGGCGTCGGCGTCGCGTCGTCGTCGTCGTCGTCGTCGTTCGCGAGCGCCCGATCTCATCACGCGTGCCGGCATCAGCTCTCCTCGAACCGTCGGGGCCTCGCGACGACGACGACGACGCCGTCGCCGCCGCCGCCGACGCGATGCGCGGCGTCGTCCAAAGGAGGGAAGCCGACGACGACGCGGCGACGCGCGCGGGCGACGACCGTCAGAGCGGCGGACGACGCCGCGGAGGCGGACGCGGCGATGGTGCAGAACAACGCGATCGGCCGCGCGGCGCGCGGGAAAGCGAAAAAGACGACCGCGTCGTCGTCGTCGTCGTCGTCGTCGACGACGACCGCCGCCGCCGCGCCCGCCGCGACGCGCCCGCCGCTCCTGAACGTCCTCGCGGACGACGCGCTCGGCCCCGCGCACGCGTCCGCGACCACGTGGATCGTCTTCAGCGACCTCCACGTCAACCGAAAAACGTCCGACGTCTGCGTCCAAGTCCTCGACGCCGTGCTCGCGGAGGCGCGATTAAAAAACGCGGGCGTAGTCTTCCTCGGGGACTGGTGGCACGCGCGCGGGGCGATTCCGGTCGAGCCGCTCAACGCGAGCCTCGACGCGATCAGAGCGTGGGACGTGCCCGTGGTGATGATCCCGGGGAACCACGACCAAGTCACCGCGGGCGGGGAGCTCCACGCGTTGGCGCCGTTGAGAGCGGCCAACCCGGAGCGCGTGCGCGTGTTCGACAGCCCCACGTTCTGGCGCGGCGCGCTGTGGCTGCCGTACCGGCGCGATCACGGCGTGTTGAGGGACGCGGTGCGCGAGGCGAAGGCGCTGCGTCTGAGCGGTCCGACCGACGGCGGCGGCGGCGACGGCGGGCCGGCGTTGAGAGCGATTTTTTGCCACGCCGACGTCAAGGGCGCCGCGATGAACGAGAGCTTTCAAGCGAAAGACGGCGTCGACCCGGAGCTGTTCGCGGTCAAAACCGACGCCGCGACCGACAACGTCGTCCCGACGTTCACCGGGCACTATCACAAGCCGCACACGGTCGCGAACACGTCGATCACGTACGTAGGGAGTCCGTACCAAGTGAGCCGCGCCGAGGCGGGGCAGCGAAAAGCGCTCGTGGTGTTGGACGCTTCGAACGGCTGGGCGGGGTGGACGGACCCGGACTCGAAGTCAAAGTCGAAAGCGAAATCATCCCAAGTGGACCCCGCGAACCCGGTGAAACTCCCACGGTCGTCGCTGATCCCGATCGACCTCGGGCCGCGGCACTTCGCATTGTCGGGCGAAGACGCGAAGATCCCGAGAGACGCGAGAGCCGGGGACGTCCTTCGCTGGACGCTGCCGCTCTCCGCGGAATGTGGAACGTCAACCGATGCGGGCGCGTTTACGGCGGGCCCGGGCGCCGCGGCGTCCGTGCCGAGCATCGAGCGCGCGCGCGCGCAAGGGATCCACGTGGAAGTGTCGTACGAGACGAAGCGAGCCCCGGCGAGGATCCCCAAAGCGGAGGAGCTCGGCCCCGTCGGGCTCTACGACGCGTACGCGAAGGCTGTGCGTCTCCCGCCCGACGTCGCCGCGGAAGGCCGCGCCGTCCTCGCGGAGGTCGCAATGCGCGTCGCGGAGAGCGACGTCGACGGCACCGGCGCGGCGTCGTTGTCTTCCCCGAGGGGGAAAGGCGAGCGCGTTCGGATCGCGTTTAAGGAGGTCGAGGTGGAAGGCTTCGGCGCGTTTTCCGACGCGGTGACGTACCCGCTGCGTAACCGCGGCGTGTGCGTCGTCGTCGGGGATAACAGAGACGACCGCTGCAGCGACAGCAACGGCGCGGGCAAGACCACGCTCGTGATGGCGACCGCGTGGGCGCTGACCGGCAACTCCGACGTCCGCGTCGAAGGCGGGAGCGGGAAGACGCTCACGAAGACGGACGTCGTCAACGACGACCGAAAGTCCGCGCGCGTCCGCGTCGAGGGCTACGTTAACGGCGAGCCCTTCTGGGTCGAGCGCAAGGTGTCTCGGACGAAGCTGATATCCTTGCGGTACGGCGTATGCGACGAGGAGCGAACGATGGCGGACAGCCGAATGACGCAGATCGCGATGGACCGAGACTTGGGCGCGAGCGTCGCAAGTCGCGTCGCGTTCCACGGTGAGACCGCTTTCCCCGTCGATTACCCCCGTCGATTCCTTTCCTTTCGCCCGCGCTTCTCTTCTCTTTCAACGTACTGTACGTTTGACCGGCGAGGCGTTCGACTGACCGACGCGCACCCGATCGCTTCACCGAGAGCAGGGCAACACACCGTCGCCGCGTTGCTCGACGCCAACGACGCGACGCTGAAAGCCGCGCTCGGGGAGCTCGTGGAGGCGGACACGTGGACGAGCGCGAAGGAGCTCTCGAGAAAGAAAGTCTCGGAAGCGCGGAAGAGGGCGGCGGCGTTGGGCGCGGACGCGAAGGCGCGGAGGGATTACGTGCGAAGGACGGAGGGCAGACGCGACGCGGCGCAATCGGCGAGCGCGTCGTGGCGCGAGGAGGTTCAGACGAGGCTCGAACGCGCGAAAGCGGAGGAGACGCGCGCGTCGTCCGCGCTCTCCGCGGCGCTGGGGGCCTGCGCGGCGTCCTCCGCGGCGCTGCGCGCGGCGTCCGCGGCGTGGGACGCGGAGGAGGAGGCCGCGTCTTCCGCGGTCCGCGCCGCGGACGACGAGATGTGGGGGAGTGAAGACGCCGGCGGCGGCGCGGCGGTGGACGAGACCGCGTTCCAAGCGCGCGCGGCGGCGCTCGACGCCGCCGCGGAGACCGCTCGGCGCGCGGTGGCGGAGCTGCAGAGAGAGGAAGCCGCCGCGAGGGCGGTCGCGTCGCAGGCGCACCGCACCGTGGGCGCGTTCCAAGGCGTCGGCGGCGGGATGAAACCCGTCGGCGCGCACGCGCACGAGGCGGGCGTCAACGTCGGCGCGTGCGATCGGTGCCTCCAACCGATCGACCCGTCGCACCACGCGGACACGCTCCAGAAGCTCATCGCGTCCGCGACCGCGTTCTCCGTCGCTCGCACGAGCCCCGGCCCCGGCTGTTGTTGCTTCCTCCGTTGGCCCCGCGGCGACGGCGGCGCCGGCGCCGCCGGCGCCACCGGCGACGCCGCGACCACCGCGTCCGCGCCCGCCGCCGCCGCCTCAAACGCGCGGCGCGCGCGGGACGCGAACGAGAAGCTCGCTGCCGTTCGCCGCGCGCGGGTGAACCCGCACGTTGTCGCGGCGGCGCTCGCGCGCGCGGACGCGGTCATCGCGTCGTCGCCGGTGCCGCCGGCGACGCCGGCGCCGCCGTCGCCGCGGGACCAACGGACGAACCAACAACCGCCGGGCCCGGGGCTCGTGCGAGCGACGGAGAACGCGGTCGCGGACGCGGAGCGAATCTCGCGCGAGCTTCAGAGGCTCGTCGCGGAGAGCGGGAACGTCGCCGCCGCGGCCGCGGCGAACCCGCACGAGCGCGAGGTCGAGTCGTTGCGCGCGCAGGTCGAAGCGGAGACGGAGGCGCTGAGGGCGAGGGACGAGGAAGTCGCCGACGTGGACGCCGCGTTGTCCACGGCGCAGCGCGCGGACGCCGTGTTCGGGACGCGCGGGATACAGTCGTACTTATTCGAGGGCGCGCTCGGGGAGCTGAGCGCTAGAGTGGGGCTGTACATGGACGCGCTGACGGGGGGGGCGCTGACGATGGAGTTGCGCCCCGCGGCGGCGGCGGCGGCGGAGGCGGGGGAGAGGAGGGCGCCGAAAAAGTCCAAGGCGAAGACGACGGCGGCGGGCGCGTCGAAATCCTCCAAATCCGCGCTGTCGTTGGACGCGAGCGACGACGAGGCCGAGGCCGAGGACGACGACGTACAGGACGTGGACGAAGACGCCGCCGCCGCCGCCGCCGCCGCGACGCCGCCGACGCCCGCGCCGCCGTCCGCCGCCTCCGCCGAGAAGATTGAAAAGATCATCCACGCGCACGTCGACGCCGGCGGCCGCGTGCAGCGATCCCTGCGTCAGCTCAGCGGCGGCGAGCGACGCCGCGCGGCGCTCGCGCTCGCGCTCGCGCACGCGGACCTCGCGTCCTCGCGCGGCGGCGTCGACTGCGACCTCCTCGTGTTGGACGAGGTGTTGCAGCATCTGGACGGGGAGGGCGTGGCGCGCGTCACCGCGTTGTTACGGTGCGTTCGAGGGCTTGCTGCGCACGTTTCGTTTTCACCAGTCCCTCGGTTTCAACGTTTGATCGCGCCGCCTTTCAACTGACCGACGATTTATATGGAATCACCCTCAGGTCGCTGCCGGTGGGGACGGTGCTGCTCACGTCGCAAGC